GTCTCGTCATCCTTGCTCCTAAGGAATATTCTGTCTGTACTTCTTCCAAGACAGATGTGTTTGTTTATGGAGTTACTGTAGGCTTTAACAACATGCCAAAGCCTTTCGTAAATAGCAAAGTGTTAATTACATTTTAGCTATTAGTATATCTCTTCCTATTTCATTTCAACACCTGAAGTAAGTGATGATTCTAGGCACCACTACCATGCAAGAATCCAGGAATAAAAACACTATTATCTTCAAATTCTAGACCTCCACATGTCTTAAATAGCTTTCTTTCTGAAAAGTCATTCTGGAAATAGCTCCCATGTGTTATTTTAAATGTCCCTATTTTCAGTGGTATGTATGTATCAATACATTCAGTTCAGAGGGACTCTGTCAACAACAGGTTTCTATGCATGTATACATTTCTGCACAGTTTATAAAGTGCTTTAAAATTTTTTGCAAGGCAAAAGAACGTTATTTAATTTAAAATCATCAGCTGGATTGCATTAAATGGAGGGAAAAGCAAAAAGTACACAATATAACCATTTGCTAAATTAAACACAATTATTTCTCCTGTTTCTTAATTATAAACAGACGTAAATATCCTGAATCCTGACATCTCAGATCTGAATTTCAACATGTAACGAAGGGAGGGTCATATTGCAATTTGTGTGTTAAGCAAACCCGAGGGTTACAATTGTATATTGGGACCATAATTACTTCACTAAAACAAGACCTAAACTTTTAATTAACCTGCCAAGACAAATTACAACTCATAGCTCACAGGTAACAATCACAGACAGCTGAGACTCAATGCCAGGGGCTCATGGGGAGAAAGGGATTAATAGCAGCATCTGAATCGTTCTGTGTTTGCATTAAAGGGGAAAAAAGCTGTATTCATTAAAAAATCACTGTAGCTTGAAGAGAGACAGACAGGCAGGTCAGAGAGGTAGCAAGAAAAAACTGGGAGGAGGAGGATGGGAGAGAATATGAATAGCTTTTGCTTACGGAGCGCTTATGGTGTTCCATTAGTCTGTGCCACCCAGAAACCACTGCCACCTAGTGCATTCCAACTCCTAGTGATCCTAGGTAAAGTTTCTGAGACTATAAATCTTTGTTGTTGTTGTTGTTGTTGTTAAGTGCCGTAGAGTCGATTCCAACCCATAGCGACCCTGTATAGTGTTTCTAGGAATAGCTGGTAAGCTTGAACCGCTGACTTTGCAGTTCAAATGACTTTGCAGTCTGACGCATGTAAGGTATTTACTTCCAGTGCTTAGTGGACACACCACCAGAATCAACATCACCTGGCTCCATCTCAGGTCTACTGAATCCGAATTTCTGAGGAAAAGGCCTGGAATCTGAATTTTTATCTGGTTTCTCAGATGTTATCATACCCAATGAGGTACGAATTTGAAGCCATGCTACTCAAAATGTGGGCCGCAGACTAGACATATTGGTATCACCGGGAACTGGTTACAAATGCAGAATCCTGGGCCCACCCAGACCTAATGAATCAGAACCTACAGGTCAACAAGGTCTGCACAGGTGATGCTTGTTGTTGTTGTTGTTGTTAAGTGCCATCGAGTCAGTTACGACCCATAGCGACCCTCTATAGGGCTTCAACTGCCAACCTTGCTGTTCAAATGACTTTGCAGTCGAGTGCATTAACCCAAAGCACCACACCAGGACTAGGGCATTGAAGTCAGAGAGACACTGTCTGTTCTGTTTGCTCTAAAAGACATTACAGAGTTAAGGGGAGGCAAGACAGGTTTCATCATTTAGGTGAGAATGGAAGAGCCAGAGGGAAAAGCAAGACTGGTTTCTTAATTATGACAAAACAGGTTAGCAAGCTCTGACAAGCCAAGAGCTGGCAAAGTTTCCTAACTGTACCTACATTTTATTTCTCTAAGATTCACTTCCTAATTAAAAGTAGCTTTCTTTGGGGGTGGGGGCGATGGTTGTACAAATATCCTTTCATAATTATGCTCAGTTATTAAAAATGAGAATTCTGATTTTTCAAGTCTTAGTAAAGTGAAGCATGACACTTTATACTCCTTTGAGAACCGTGCCTGGGAGAAATTGGACCATGAGACCATGAAGCCGTAACTCAGGCACCATTAATGGTAATCATGTCTCTAAATTGAAGCCATCATGTCCAGAAAAAGACAAGAAACAGGGTCTGGAGCCTGCCAAACCCCACAGAATGCCAGCCTGCTTGATGGGGAGGAGCAGAGCCGGGTTCCCCAAGGCCCTGCTGGCCTCCGTGTCACCAGTAACCACGGAGCTGCAGTTCCTATCACAGAATCTTGAGAAACCAAGCGCTGGAAAAATGGAAGGATTTATTTAAGATCCCAACACAAGTGGCAGAGATTCAGAACAGCATACTTTCCACTACACCTACAAAGACAGCCTTCAGAGTGGAAACCAGGAGCATGGTATTGCCAAGACCGTGGCTGCTGAGGCCTGTTCTCTTACTAACTGGGTCAGTGCTGTGTACCAGGTCCTGGGCTAGTACAGGAGAGAAAGGCAGATGTCCCCAGGTCCCTGCCATCTAGGCACTCAAAGCTCTGCAGTCAGGACAGACAATTCCAAACAAGGAAAGCACAAAGTCGTACTGTCTGTGTTACAGCTAGTTGTCTAATTGCCTGAACATCTGTCACTTTATGATCAAGGTACAATATTGCATCCGAAGCCTATCTCATGGCCTGGTGTAGCGCTGTGGGCTAATGCGTCAGACTGCAAAGTCGTTTGAACTGCAACGCCAGTGGTTCAAGCTCACCAGCTGCTCCTTGGAAACCCTATAGAGGGTCGCTATGGGTCGGAATCGATTAGACTGCACTTAACAACAACAACAACAGTTAGTCTGCCTAGACACTAAGAGCAAAATTGCAAGTCTGAGGAAAGAAGACAGCCTGACATTGAGCACGGACGGCAGTAAGAAGGGGAAGAATAGCAAATCACATCAAACCAGATGGAGAGATTTTCATTGAGATTTCCATGTTAGAAAGACTCATAGTCAAGAAATCAGACCCAAAGTTATCAGGTGAACTGTAATAACTTTTCAGTATCAGAAACCCAATCACTAGCGTTCTGGTGAATGGAGTTTTGTTTTTCCATTAGTTTTATTTTCCTGTAGGAAATTAAATGATGTGGATTTCAAAAGCTTAGTGTCAGATGGGGAACTCAGATGATACTGTGTCAGGTTTTTGTTGTTAAGTACCATCAAGTCAGTTTCAACTCATAATGACCTTATGTAGGATTTCTGAGGAGTGGCTGGTGACCTTGAACCGGCAATGATGAGGTTCTAACTGACCTTGCAGTCCAGGGCAACGCCACAGCAGGACTCCCACTATATACTAAGAGAAAATGTTTTTCTGACACAAGCACTAAGGCCACACTGTAGTGATACAAGGAGAAGACGGTAATTGTGTTGGTAAAGGAGGGAAATTCTTTCAAACAGGATGTCATGCTACCCAGAGACTCACAGACACTACCTGAACTACTAACAAGGCTCTCTTCCACTAAGTAGGGATGCTAAGGGGTGTCCAGTTCAGCTCAGTGTAGTCATGGCTGATGAAGCTATACTGTAACAGACCCAAATTTTTAAAATGTGGATGAACCAAAATGCTTAGCAGAATGAGAAAGATGACAAGTCAAAGTCCTGTCAGAAATGTAATCTCCCTCTTAGAAAACAAGGGCAGGGCACATTCTGGATGGCAACCAAATCTTTTGATGGGTTGAGCTGAAAACAGCAGCTCAAAGGTGGTGGCCGACCACACAACACTTATGCGCATCACTCTTCTAGTAATAACCCAATGCCATGCATCAGGCTCCTGACAGGGCTCACTTTGACTCTTCGAAGTCTGCCACTCCACGGCTTCAATCCAAAAAACTTCCCATCCCAGCTAGCATACTAGATCACCCAAATTTTAGAAAGTCAGTTTTGAAATTTGGGTCTATTCCCCTTTCACTTGGCTGTCCATGACTGAACGGGCTTGAGCTGTTTTGAAGGCCTGGTTAAGCACTCATTTAAAACACCAGGGCTTACTCTGTGTCTGAGATGAAACCATCAGTTGCCATCCAGTCAAATCGAATTTCTAGCAATCTCCTATGTGAAAGAGTAGAACTGTTCTCTACAGGGTTTTAGTGACTGAATTTTCATAAGTAGATCACCAAATCTTGCTTCCCAGGTGCCTCTGGGTGGAATTCAACCTTCTGGTTGGCAGCTGAGCACACTCATCATTTATACAAGTCAGGGACACCTGTCAGAGATTGCTGTTGTCACACTGATTCTGACTCACGGTGACCCCCACTAAGCTCATAGTGTTTTCAAGGTTGTAACTTTTTAGAAGTACCTGTGGATGAGTTCAAATCACCAACCTTTTGGCCAGCAATCCAGTGCTTAACGGTATATACCAGCCAGGGACCCATCAGGCAGTTCTCTTATCAGCAAAACTCTAATCTGACCCATTATATTGTCCATTTGGTCCTTCACACTGCTATTCTCACTATTATCTATCTCTCCAAGTCTTTATCTTCTTTATTCATCTGCCAGGAGCTACTGGCTCCCAAAGCAAAAATAAATATATAAATAAATAACAACCAATCAGTGAGTTGAACCAATTGACACTTGGAGAGACAAACAGGTCTTGGAATGAAGTGTCAGAATGAGAACTACCACAATGAGTTGATCATCCAGGATTCCTGTCTTCTGTTATCTGTTCCAACCCTTGTTCTTTAAAGGTCCACACATTTTACTACAGAGAAAGGCAGTGAACAAGGGCCCTAGGCTCAGCTAACAGCCCAGAACAGTCTTCCAGGCCCTCCCTCCTACCAGTCTTTATCTTCATTTTCTTACATCTCCCAGCAATCACTTGTCCCGTTAAGCCAAGCTAGGCTGCCCTCATGACAGGAGCATCCACAGCTCTGGGCAAGAAACATCCCAGAATCTCCAAGCATCCTCCCATCCAAAGAGATTCTATCCCACAGACTTCAGAGGGGCGGAGCCTCCTTACCAATGGCAGTGGTGAGAAAAGAAACCACTTCAGATTCCTTCCCATCATTGTAAAAAGCCAGATGCCAGATTCCTGAATCCAAATACTGGATGAAGCCGGTCTCATGGCTAGATGGGGGGACGACACCCCGAGACTGCCGTGGGGGTCCCTCGAGGCTCCGTGCTTCCTGGGTCAGAAGCCTCCTTCCATCCAGCAGCTCCACAAAGTCAAACTGCAGGACAAAGAGAACAAAGTTAGCAATGGACTGGATTCATCATAAATCCAGGTTCTTTCTTCAGGCTTCTCATGGAAAGAATACAACTGACATGGCAAAGAAGCTAAAACCATATGGAGAATTATCACCCAACTCAACACCCTCCCAGATCCAATTTGGTCTCTGGTGATCTTTTCCTGATTCTCATTAATGGGTACTTTTTTAGTCTCATTCTGTTTTAATGTTGTTGTGTGTGTGGTAAGTCTTTACCAACTGAACTTGTACCAGGACAACCATGCTTGTTTAATGATGGTCACAGGATTATAACCTAGCCACTTAGCGATTGTTTGAATTCTATGTAACTCAGGATGGGAACACTGAGGGTCTAGCACTAGACCCGCTTTAAACATCAGTCATGTGCACATGAAAATCTGACTAATACTTTCCTTTTGTCAATGAGGCTTTCCAAATGCTTTCGTTTTAGAGAACACTTTTAGGGGCACTACACTGACTTCCTGGTATGGTGCTGTGTGTTAATATGCTGGGCTGCAAGGTCTGTTTGAACCACACAAACTCACCAGCTGCTCCTTGGAAACCCCATACAGGGTTGCTGTGAGTTGGAACCAACTCGATGGCACTTAACAACAACAACAACAACAACAAACTGGATTAGTTAAAAAATCTACCAATGAGTACATGCTGTGTCAAATACAAATGCCGATGGATCTGAGACTTGCTTATGGGAGACTCAAGAAAAGTCAGTCACTCAGTGTTACACAGTTAGCAGGTATGTCTTGCTGGTCTAGTAGCAAGTCAAATGAGTAAATGTCTTCCTTTCTTTCTTCAGAAATAAATTATTTATTCACTCGTATATAAAAATAATCTAAACATAAAAAGTTCAGGACCACCATGGTACCTCTGCAAAGTCATCAAGTGTCTCAGGCTCCATTTTTCTACAACTCACCCTGAACAAGTACACCTATCTAGCTTTTTACTAAAAATCTTTAATAGTTGCTGGCTTAGGAGGACTGCATTTGGACCTGGGACTGCCTCATGCCTGCATCTCCAGAGCATAGAGGAATTTGCACACATCTCTGCTCTTCACTGCGGCGAAGCCAATAATCCGGGACAAGTTTTAATGTGTTTCTGCTATGCATGCATGTGTGTGTGTTTGTGTCTGAGTAAATGTGTAACCCTGAAAGAGAAGGAACTCAAAAGACTAGGGGATGACATTTATTAGGGACTGACTAGTCTGAGTCAGGTCTTGCCTTGACTGTTTAGCAAATGTAATTCTTTATTTTTCACAACAGTTCTGCAAACTGAGTATTGTTGTCATCATTTCCTAGACTATGAAATACACTCTGAGAGAATTCGCCAGTCAAAGTTATATGTCTGAGAACAACAAAATTCAAATTCAAGTCTGATTCCAAAATGCTTGCTTTTGCTTTTTGTTAATTTCTACCCTCCTGTAAAGGAGCTCTGGTAGCATAGCAGTTATGAATCGGGCTGCTAACCTCAAGGTCGGCAGTTCGAAGCTACCAGCTGTTCTGCGGGAGAAAGATGAGGCTTTCTGCTCCCGGAATGATTTACAGCCTCGGAAACCCTGTACAGGGTTGCTATGAGTCGGAACTGATTCCACGGCACATAATAACACCAACAACTCCTCTGTAGATCACATCTTGTGGATGAATAATTTAACTTAGGAGACTGGGTGAGAGTGGAAAGGCTATTAGAGGATTCCTAGATTTCCCTCCTCTTAATCCCCCACTCCCCAGGGATGCAATCCTAATCATACATAAATTAGGAAGGAATAAGGGATGGATGGGCTATAAAATAAGTGAATTTCTCTTCAGGCTCAAAGGTCCAGGTTTAAGCACGGCTAAGACCTGAGGTAGGAGTCCCCTGGCGATAAGCAGGGAATGTGGAGTTCTGGTTACCTGTGTGTGTGAAGGAGGAAGACCTTTTCTGCCGTAAATGCCAACCAGGGCTGCCTTTCCCAGAGACACATTGAATTTCAGATGTACAGGATGATCTATGAACACCTGAGATCTCCAGAAAGTGCCAGGAGGAATCTTCTGGGAAGTTCGTCTCCCCACATCGATTTCTCCAGAGTCTATAAAACTGTCCTCTGGGAAGAAACTACTGGACTTTCCTACCAAGACACAGGGAAGGGAAGACAAGAACATCACAGTTAGTCACTGATGAAGCAAGGAATTAGGGCATTTGAACAACCAGGACTCTCGTCAGTCAACTTTGCACCCCTATCTACAACATTCTGCTGCCAGCTTCCTCTCCCCATTTGAGTAGTAAGATGTCCAAACATTCTACCCCCTGTGAAGCTCAAGTTGTTCTGCTAAAAATATGCATTCTTCCAAAGCAGTATGGGTCCTCCCCAAGGGCCATCTGTTTACCGCATAACTCCACAGCTTGTTAAGATATATTTTGATCCTAAAAATAATCATTTGTGGTCACATGAGAATAACTGTGATTGTGCATGTGTGCAAAGGAATGCATGCTAAAGTAGAAAAGACAGAGAGAATGAGGAGCGGTTATTAAATTTTGCAACTTGATTGTCTGCTCCAATAGTGGGAAGTGTGACTTGAATGAAGGAAGGCCGTTAAAAAGTTCATTAACTGTATGTATAAATTCGAGGCTAAATTTATACATACAGTTAATGAACTTTTTAATGGCTGGGATATACAGATGGGAGGTTTTTGTTGGGGTCAGGTAGAGAGATTGAAGGGAGAAAGAAGAGGTTATTTCTGAAGGGAGAAAATATTTTTGAAAACAAAAAAAAAAGCTTCTTGTCTTTGGATAAGAAGTCAATAGTATTTTTTGTGCTAAGATGGGGAAACTTGGGAGAATTTCTCAAGTTGAGGCAAAACATCCATGACACATGTGGAAATTCAACCCAGACTCTCAACCTTGTGCCCAGAATCCATGAGGGAGGTCAAGAGTAAGTTTTCCCCCCTTATTTCTGTCAGTAATGAGGAGCCTGACAGCTTTTGGGGTACATTGCCAGTACCAGGAAGGAAGGTTGCTTATCAAGCTTCCTCTGTTTTGTAATTAAATACATTCACATATGAAAAATATAAACCCTAACTTCCTGCCAGACATGAGCCTTCTGAGGAATTGGGAGCAGAGGGAGGCAGGAGGCTATAGGAAAGACCACCCTGAGGACACTGAGAAACCAAAATCATGTCAACACACTACAACGAACAACTTAGAAGCCACTGGGAAGTCATCCTCCCCCCCCCCCCCCCCCCCCCGCCGGGTATCCTGATTCCAAGGTTTTCTGTGTTGTTTAAGATGTTTGAAGAGACACTTTAGAGAACAAGAATTCATTTGTAAAGAAAACACGTTTGTAGGAACATTTTAATAAAAAGCATTTGGGGACTAAGAAATTAAAATGTCTTTTTCCTAGCTTTGTAAGACTCCTTACAAAGCACATTTGATGCTGAAATCGAGATTGGCAGGGCATTATTGTAGTCATAAAATATTTTACTGTTTTAAATAATAAAATTCAATTTAAATGCTAAACTTCTCCATATGTTATCATTCTCCTATAAACTTCCAGGCAGAAACATCAGGTTTTTAGCTTCAAACCATTAAATGTTATTTTAATTAAAAATATGCCAACAACAAAAAAAGTTAAAATGCATGCTAACAATAAAAGTACCACTAGTATTCTATCATTAGCATGGGAAAGACTTTGCATTTAATTCCTTTTTGGAAGGAATGTGTCCTCAAACTTTTACCTTAAAAATGAACACACACACACCTTTACACTGTGATTCAGAAACTTCAAAGATAAAAGACATAGCACAAAGTGTTCTTATGAAAAAGAATTACTTTCATAATCTTTCTTATTTGATTTTTAGGTTTCCAATACCATAACCTCGTTAGTATACTAGTGGTATCCCCGCCTGTCACACGGTAGACTGGGGTTCGATTCCCCGACGGGGAGGCCTGTGGCATTTTGTAGGAGCTCTGGTAGCATAGTGGCTACGAATCGGACTGCGAACTTTAAGGTCAGCAGTTCAAAATTACCAGCTGTTCCGAGATGAGGCTTTCTGCTCCCGTAAAGATTTACAGCCTCGGAAACCCTGTACAGGGTCGGAATATGAGTCAGAACCGACTCCACGGCACATAACAACCACCACAAATACCATAACACTTTTATATTCTTAGGTGGGAAAAAAAAAACAAAAACCATCAGCTTTTAATTCAGTTAAGGGGATAGAACTATGAAGGAGTACAAAACAAAGGCAAATGAGCGCTGAGCATTTTACTCCTGGAAATTACATTAAAAGAAGGTCGAGATTGGTAATTCCAAGGATTCATTTCCTTTGTGAGAGGGTGGGGATCAGAGCTGATGGGATTTCAGGATTGTATGCATTTCAAATAACTCCTATGTCTGAGTAAAAATAATAGAAATTTACCGCACTTTTCAACCTGCTGCTAGAGAGTCCTCACAGTTCATTCCTCCCTCCAGTGTTCACAGTTTTAAAGCACCCTGGTGGCTCTTTAGCAGTGGACTGCTAACCACAAAGTTGGCAGTTCAAAGCCACCAGGTGCTCTGTGGGAGAAAAATGATGGTTTCTGCTCCCATAAATTTTTATAGCCTCAGAAACCCTGAACAGGGTCACTTTGAGTCAGAATTGAATAGAGGGCAGTGGGTGGGTAGTGAGCATATTTTTAGGAGACAGCTGTTATTGTATCAGGGAGCCCTAGTAGCTTAATGGATTATGAGCTGGGCTGCAAACATCAAGGTCAGCAGCTCGAAGCCACCAGTGCTCCATGGAAGAAAGACGAAGCTTTCTGCATTCAAAAAGATTTAAAGCATCAGAAACCCTATACAGGGTCACTATGAGTTGGAAGGACTTGGTGGAACACAGCCACCACCACCACCACCACCACTAATACTGTATCAGTCATATCTACAACCTATTGACTCACCCAGAGCCCTGTAAGCCCCAGGGGCATAGATAAATTGGTTCTTTCCCCAGAAGGATCAGCAAAGGAGGGATTTTCTTTTTCAGTACTGGTGTTTTTTTTTTCAGTACTTTTTCATTTCCTGGTGATGAGGTAGGTCAAGTGTTGGGTTGCTAACTGCAAGGTCAATGGTTCAAACCCTCAAGCTGCTCTGAGGGAGCAATAAGAGGTTGTTTGCTCCTGTAAAGATTTAGTTTGAGAACTCTACAGAGCACTTCTACCCTGCCCCACAGGGTCACCTTGAGTAAAAAAAATGACCTGATGGCAGTGGCTTCATCATATCACCTAGACAGACAAAAATTGAAGGAAAAAATGTCATTGGTGTATATACAACAATGAAATAAAAAATAAATAAATTGACCTGGGGCAAAATTTGACTAGGACCTTGCCTTTCTACAGCCATGTCTGTGAGGGTCACTTTGGAATTCTGGTTCAAAAATGACCTTTGTACTAGAAGTGGTCCTGTCTGGGTCCTTAGGGAGTAGGCCAAGGCCCAGTCTAAAGGTAATGTCTAAGATCCTGATATGGAGATTTAACCTTTTACTATTCCTTTTCTACATCCTGAATGGTTGACAGTTTGAACCTACTCTAGCAGTTCTTAAGGAGAAAGACCTGGCTGAAAATGATCTGCTTCCAACACGATTACAGCTAAGGAAACACTACTTTGCCACATGGGATCACCATGAGTCAAAATCAACTCAGCGGCACCTAACAACAACATCCCTCCCACAATGGACCACCCTAGGAATCGAATGGAAGTTGTTGAGAAGAAAGAGTCTATAGCCTGCTGACCACTTGACCTGACAGAAGGAAGCATGAGATTGGCCAGACTGAAGATCTGGTCAGAGTAAACCTCTCTACTCCTTTTCTACCTCTAAAAAATTCTGAGTAATTAGATCTTTCTAGCTCCTATAACCTAAGAGTCTTTGTCGTGGCAGGCTGTGAGAGATAGGACATAAAGTATCTTAAACCTAAACCGGTATGGTGTTGTAGAATAAGCACAGGACTATAACCACAAGATAGGCAGCTCAAACCCACCAGTCACTCCTCAGAAACCCTGCACAGGGACGCTACGAGTGGGAATCAACTCGATGGCACTTAACAACAACAACAAACCCGAACCAAAACCCACTGCTACCGATTTGCTTCCAACTCATAGTAACCCTATATAAAATATTCTATAACCTAATAAAACCCACCAATGGTAGAGTTATGGGGAAGAGTAGGGTAGAGACAGTTGGAAAAGAAAAGTCCTGTGCATAAAGTTCTAATTCCTATCAAATCTGGCAAATAATAATGATATTACTTTAAAACATTAAATAATAATAATATTTGTGGTGCTGTAGAATAAGCACTGGACCAAAAGGTCAGTTTGAACCACTAGGGCAACAGTTCAAAACCTTGGAAACCCCATACAGTGTCGCTATGAGTCGGAATCGACTTGACAGCACTTCAACAACAACATAGTATTATTATTATTTGGAAGGAAGATGAGGTTTCTGCTCTAGTAAATATTTATAACCTTAGAAACCCTACATAGGGTCTCTATGAATGGAAACTGACTTGATGGCATACGATCACCACCTGTTAATATTATTGTAATTATAATAAAGGTAGAGGCAGTAGAATGAACCACAGTAGTAGTACTAACTGTCATTTATCAGACACTTGCATATGTATCAGTTTATTAAATTTTCACAAAATTAAAAAATATATTTTGAGATTTAGAATGTGTAAGAAACCATTTAGAAACTTGGCCATTTAGAGTCACTATTTGTTAGAATATGTTTTTTCATTAAGGATAAAATTGATGAATAATTAATTTAAATTCTATAAAGACATTCCTGATGGTGGCAGGGTGCACTGACCCTCTTAAAGAGCAAGAGAGTTCATTTAATTCACAGCCCCAGTAGGCTGAATATCAAGGCTAGATCAAGTAGATCCAAGACCCATTTAAGAACTTCCTAGTATCCTTAGGATACAAGAAATTGACAAGTTTTTTTTAAAAAAAGGAACCCACATACAGGCTCCAAAGTAAAAGGGCAGCAGTCAGGGTCTTGAGACATTTATAAGAAGGAGAAATAATCACCAAGTGCCCCACTGATTTAACTCTTAACAAAGAGCTGAACACAGGATTAGGATTCTCACTGGGCAGATTCTGCGGCAACAATCCTTTTATTGGTGAAGATATACAGATTCATGCCCCCTGAGACAATACTGTGTACATATGCATTCAGGTCCAGAAAAGAAGTTTCTTAATGAATTGCTGAGATGATTTGCTCTGTCAAATAAGGGAGATTTGGAAGAGTGATATTCCATGCCCTTCCCAATCAGTCTCCACTTTCCTGAACTATGACCTATCTATATCAAATCCAAATTCCTAATCAACTAACATTCTTCCTTCCCTCCCCACCTTTCTGTTTGTTTGTTTTTTCTCTCCCAATGCAAAACTATGCACAAAGAACCCCTTAGTTTCCTTAGCAACTGTTGAAATTTATTTGATTATCAAAATAAACTGTTCCATTTTGGGGAGCCCAGCGGAGCCTGTATGCAATAATTTGCATGGTTCAAACTGACGGGCAATTTTGATTTCACTGCAGAGAGAAGAAAATGCTATCCCTAGCCCACCAATTCAACCATCAGAAATGCTTGTTTATTCAATGCTTTTGCCCCCTTCCATTAATGCATAACACAAGTTCTTGTGGCTTTCCTCTGAAAAGCTGCTGTATTTGGTTTCTATCCCATGACAATGTCAAGATGGTTACAGCCACTTTGAAAATACAGTACGAATAGCACTTTTACGTTATTCTCAAAGACATAATGTATGTTTAAAATACTGGATTTATCACGTATTTCATTTGTACAATTTAGTGGTTACGAATCAGGCTGCAAACCTCAAGATCATCAGTTCGAAACTACTAGATGTTCCATGGGAGAAAGATGAGGCTTTCTGCTCCCGTAAAGATTTACAGCCTCAGAAACCCTGTGCAGGGTTCACTATGAGTTGGAACTGACTCCACGGTACTTAACAACAACAACAACATATGTATGTATGTATGTATATATATATATATATACACACACACACATACACACACACGCGCGCACACACACACACACACACACACACACACACACACACACACATATATATCCTTTAACAATATTCAAACATACCCCAAATCTTTGCAGGAGATATTGGCATAAAAGGTTAATTAGTAAGGATTTCTGGGATTTTAATAACAGAAATAAAGATTTGAATAGACAACAACAAGAGAACTTGTGTTGAGTGCCTCCTCCTCATCAGTCTTTAAGATGATGCACGTTCTCATCCTTGTTCTATAGAGTAGAAAACTAAAGCCAAAGAAGACAGAATTAGTGGCATGAGTTAACACAGCCAATAAAGGGTAAGGCCAGGATTTGAACCGTGGACTACCACACTCCAGGCCCGTTTATTGATTCTCTTCCCATAATACCACACTGCTTCCTCCATTATTGTGGCAAGAAGCTTACTCCTAATTTTGGAATCAGCTCTCCTCTGATACCCTCAGAAGAGATGGGAAATACGTTTTTATATGAGGGTTCAAGACTTTCCCCTTTGAGATGGGTCTAAGGAACAAGATTTTTAACATCACAATTAAAAACATAAACTCAGTAGACATTGGTCTGACCAGCATAAAAGAAATTAAGAACCATGTGGTCTCATGTAAACTGTAGGAAGCTTTGTTCTCTGGTTTTCCAGACTGATTTATTTTTCAGACTGATATAATTGTTTTTGATGCTGACCACTTTCCAGCATTGTACTGCATTTAAGGGGTTCCTAAACAGGATTTCCATTTGCATTAGTAATGACAGCTAATCCCTCTAGGCAAAAATACTCCAATTAAAGTAAAGCAATAACCTGGTACAATTTTATTTTGCCTCTTATCTGCACCTCCTGCTCTCTAGGAAAGAAAAACAAAACCTAAACAACCCACAAACTCTAATTTCATTAGAGCGAGAGATTTCTCATAGATGCAACTTCTGCTTAAAGAATGTTTGATAGAGATCATGGAAGGAAGAAAATACGTTTTGCTAAATAAGACTTTTTACCAATTCCTTAAGGGTTCAATAAATCTGATGTCTGCTTTTGTGCATGCTAGAGACAGTCTTTAACATTATGCCATTTACCAACAGTATCTGAAACAATAAAGTGACATGGGTATCCACAACCAACCACAACGAAGGCAGGGCCATGGACAGGGCCAACAAGAAAAAAATTTGAAGACCCATCTAATTAGTCATATGATGATAGTATTACTAATCACATATGCAGAATTTGTTAATTAGAATGGGTCTTAGCTCAATAACTCCCTTTGTATAAAAAGAAGAAAATAAAACCAGAAGATCTGTTCAAAGGATTTGCTTAAGGTCATACCATGGATCAGTGGCAGCAGTTAAGACTTGAACTTGGGCTCCCTGCCTCCTATATTCCATAGCTCTCTCTACAGCCCCATTCTTTATATATCACTCCATATTCTATTAATAACCAAAAAGTATAAATTATTCACTATTTTAGGTCCTTAAGTAAAAAGGACTGTTTATTCATCAAAACGGAAGGCAAGAATTCTGATCTGGCTTTGTGAAAATGCCCCAAGTCCTCATTCCTTTACAGATGAGCATAGGTCTAGCTGACTTTGGCCTTGAGGATCATCATTTCAGAAGTCACGAATGCATATTCTAACCAAACACATGCCAACCCTGTTAACCAATACAACATTTGGAAAGCAAATCCTTGACAGGATTGACCCCAGAGTTAATTGGGATAAGAGGAAAAAGAAGATGTAAGCAGTGACGACCGGAGGCTGCTATAGTCACACTGCTGACAGAGGTAACATCAGAGGATAAAGTAAGTCACAACAATACATAGGAGAAGAGAGGACCACATTGATGACACACAAAGAAGACTAGACTGCTCTGTTAGCTCAGACATTTCCCCTGGTACCCACTTTTGTGAGTTTTTGCAATTCATGGCTGACAGTGAAAGAGTTTGTGTCCATAGCATGTTGAAAAGACTCCTAAGAAACTAAGGACATGGGTGTATGGATGTCCCACTTAAGAATGACAAAGTCCAAATGTTACCACCATCATCGATAGAGAAATAAATATCCCTGCCTCATTGTACAATGAATTGCCACATCCATATCTCTTTCAGTGTCTTCTACCCATGGAGTGAGGCAGATAGGGTGGCTTTATGGAGAAAGCAAGAGTTCCTGGGGTAATAGAGACCTGTGCTTTGATTTCAAGTCTACCATTTGTTGATTGTGTGACTATGGCCATGTCACTTAATAAATGGAATCCTTAGTTTTTGTATCTAAAGTAGGGTAGGAAAACTATACTTATCTCACAGGATCTCTGTGAGGATTAAATCTGAAATGCTCTTGACAAAAAGGTTTGAAAGAAATACACTGTAAAATACTAAAAACTATTGCTATTTTTACAGATGAGGAAAGTAAGGCTCAGGGAAATTAAGTGATCTACTAGAGGTTGCAAGGTTGGTAAATTTCAGAACAGTTGAAATGGTGTTTCCATTAAATCATAAAGATCCAAGGATCTTTAAATGATAACAAACCATCTACCCACCTCACCACACTCCACTCCCATAGATGCACATTTGTCCCATGAGGTTTCCCCAACAGGGCTTGCCTGTTCTCTCAAAACCAAAGATGGCCACCCCAGCAGTGTGCAAGGCATGAGATGGGAGGTTGAGCACCATGAGCCCGTGTAAGCTGCTCTATGAGCTCACAGTGACAAGGAATTGCGATGGAGACACAGGTGGACTGGCAGCCGGCATGGAGTGCAGAGGAATGGAGGAAGTGCCAGAGTGTGAAGCTGTGAGTCGGGCACATGAGGCACATAATGGAGGTCTCCTTGGTTCAAAGGCAGACACAGAGGACTCACAACACGGACAAGACAGCAACCCTACCTTCTGTGGCTCCTTTGCCTTTCCTGTCAGGGATCTCTAACCCAGTGCCCCCTGAGGGATACAGGGAGACGTCCGTCGGCACAGGCCAACTGCTGGCTGTGTCCTCCGTGATCTCATACATCTGCCCCTCCATCGGCTGCAGGTGCCAGTTTAGGCCAAACAGGTGCATGGCTGTGGTGAGCAATGAGAAAAGTCATCTTTTTCTGCTGGAGGCGTAAATGGAACTCCCAAGCCATAAGGGGAGGGGAACACAAGAATTCAATTCAATGCAGTTCAGTTCAACCACTACCCACTTGGGGCCCAGAGAGACAGAGGCATGGGCCCTGCCCTGGAGGGGCTCACAGTCTGTTGGAGCTGGCAGGGAGTGGGGGTTGGGGAACTTCTGGAGGTCTTGGCCCTTTATTTCAAAAGGTAAATAACAATCTTAGAAAAAAATGTAATTTCTATCACAAACCATTCATTTCCTTGATATAAAAATAGCTCCTACAAATAATAAGCAAAGTCTAACAACCCAGTAGGATACTGGGCATAGGATATGAACAGTTTACAGAACAAGAAATACAAATGGCTATTAATCATATGAGAAGACCCTTGACAGCATTCACAGTAAGAGACATAAAAGTTAAAATTCTGAAATGCCATTTTTCACATCTAATTTAACAAAGATTAAAAAGGCTGAAACGTCTATATTGCAAGATACGGAAAACAAGAACTCTCACACATTGCTGATGATGGCACAAACTAGTATAAGCCTCGTGGAAGGCAACTTGATAAAAGCTATGCAATTTTAAATGCTTATACCATTTACCATGGAACTTAGAGATTCTACTTCTAGAAATTTCTTATCCAGATATACTCACACTTATATTGAACAAGTTACATACAATGTAACTCACTGCAGCATTGCTTTTAACAGGAAAATACTAGCAACTAGTCCATATATAAGGAGCTAAATAAGTTACATCAACACAATAAAAGACTATGTACAACCATAAAAGTAGTGAGGACATTCTTGATGTACTTTTCTGGAAGAAAATGATAAAGTGTAGAACGGTGTATTTTATATAAAACTTTTGGGTTTAAAATAAAATCTTTATATGTATACACTATTTCTGGAAGGACAGGAAAGACACTGGTAAAAGTATGTGTAGGCTATGAAGGGAAGATATGCTAAGTATCAGAGGTAGTAGGGAGACATAATATTCTATTTTGTACCATATGCATATATTTTTATTTTGGAGATTTTTTTTTTTTTCAACGTAGCAATTGCAAAATAGTCTCATACTGCAATCAAGAAGATACCATTAGATACCAAACAATGGACTTTTTCTCTTGAAATACACAAGGCTTGAGAAGGCTAGGCAGCCTATAGGCATAAAAGTTTCAAGTGTCAGGTCTTGTCAATTTCAATGGTCTAGACTCCCCTCTTCTCAGATGCCTACCCAGAGTTAAGCTCTCAAGTCTTTTGAATTTCTACAATATCTTCTATGTAGCATTCACTCTTTTGCTCAGTTGATAAACATTTTCTGAAAGCTCACTATCCATCAGGACTTATGGCAGACTCTGGAGAGCCGAATGGAATCAGACCGTGCTAGTTGTGATAAGCATATTGTAGGCAGGTAGGTAAGGCAGACGAGTAATAAAGTCTATTTCGAAGGACTAGAAGGGCCAGAGGGTGACTGACCAACTACAAGAACCAGAGGAACACAGCATCCATAGAAAACTGAAGGTCCATAGTTATTACATTTACTGAGGGCACACTATGTGCCAGGCAGTGAGATGGATAATTTATATAAATATGTCTAATGATTATGGCAACCCTGCCAGGCCCAATTTACAGATATACACATTAAGACTCCAAAGGTTAATTAAAATTATAAAACTATCAAGTACAGAGTGCTTACCATGTGTCAGACATTGTGCTAAGAGCATTAAACACATTATTTCATTCACGTCTCATAGCAATCCTAAAAGGTAGATATTAATTTTATTGATGAAGAAATGGAGGCACAATGAGACCCATTAACTTGTGCAATGCTAAACAGCTAATAAGTAGCAGTGTCTGGACTAGAACCCAAGACTGTCCAAGTTGTGAAATAACATAGCATTCGTCTTTCTGGTTTCAAGGCCCAGGTTCCATCCCTTCTACCATGTTGCCTCTCACTAACTTTGTCTAGCAAGCTGGGCGTAAAAATACACCCCCTTTTGCACATCAAACAGCCTCCAAGGCTTTTAAATCTCTTTTTAGGCAACAAGAAATGATCCCGTGAGGCAGACAGGAAGTCATGTTAACTGGCCCCAGTCTACAGAATGGGACACAGAAGGTGGCTTCTGCAGGCCTTTCAAGACACAAAAATCTGACTAAAGGAACCTGAAGCAGAATACACCTTTCTGACTTCCAGCTCCAACACTATTCACCCAGGGAAATAAACAAATCTGATTTAACCAAGAGGGCAAATCCTGGTTAACAGGAACGAAATCTGACTCTTTGCTTCCTCTTTGGTTTCTGTTCTACAGGGGGAAGGGAAGTATGCTGGATCAAAGATAAGAAAAGAGGTTTGAAATTCTAACAGCCACTTAGTAGGTGGGAATCCATGGGCAAGTTAGAGAATGTTCTGAACTGCAAGACTCTTCTCATCTGAGAAATGGGGATAGAAATATTTCAAAGGTCTATAGTCTTCAGTATGGACTGCACTTCAATGTAAAGAAAACAAAAATCCTCACAACTGTACTAATAAATCACATCATGATAAACAAAGAAAAGACTGAAGTAGTCAAAGACGTCATTTTGCTTGGATCAACAATTGACACTCATGGAAGCAGTAGTCAAGAAATTAAATGCCGTATTGCATTAAGCAAATAAGCTGCACAAGACCTCTTTAAAGTATTTAAGAACAAATATGTCACTTTGAGGACGAAGGTGCACCTGGCCAAAGCCACGGTATTTTCAAGAGCCTCATATGCAAGTGGAGTCCTGGTGTGGTGCTGTGGGCTAATGTATCAGACTGCAAAGTCGTTTGAACCACAAGGTTGGTGGCTCAACCTCACCAGCTGCTCCTTGGAAACCCTATACAGGGTTACTACGGGTCAGAATCGATTTGACTGACGGCACTTAACAACAACAACAACAACAACATATGCATGTAAAAGTTGGACAGTAGAAGAATTGATGCATTTGTATTATGGTGCTGGCAAAGAAGACTGAAAATACCATGGACTGCCACAAGAACTAACAAATCTGTCTTGGGAGAATACAGCTAGAATGCTCCTTAGAAATGAGAATTGGAAGACTTTGTTTCTTATTCTTTGGACATATTGTCAGGAGGGATCAGTCCCAAGAAAAGGACATCATGCTTGGCAACATGAAGGGTCAATGAAAAAGAAGACCCTCAATGAGATGAAGTAACACAGCGGCAGCAAAGTGGGCTCAAACATAACAACTGTGAAGAAGACACCAGACTTGGCCATATTTCATTCTGTTGTCCACAAGGTCGCTATGATTTGGAAGCAACTAGATGGCACCTAACACCAACAACAAAGCATTTTGCAAGTTTTACATAAGTGATTACCACCATTTGGTAACCAGTATTTCTGCACCATTGCTCACAAAGATAATGGACTGTTGTCTTCCAGACAGCTCCCCTCTTGTGGTGACTTCCTGCACAGTGGGATGAAGTGCTGGGTGGTCCTGTATTATCACAGCTAATCATTAGCTGTGAATGGGGCCTTTGTGATCCAGAGGCTTTCCCCTGGCAAATTTTCAGAAGTCCACCCACAGCCCTTTCTGTGGAGTCCATCTTAGTCTGGAAGCTGCCTGCATATTAAGTGTGCTGGTGGGGAACTGAACTCAAGTTCTCCTTGTGGAAGGCAGGGATTCTATCACTGAACCACCAATCACAATGACTGGCTAAGATTTACTTAGCACCTTTTTAGGTACTGGGCACTGCACCAGTGGTTTTACACTGTTCTTGGCTGTCTCTGTGTAGTTGAAAACAATGAAAAAACACAAAGAAAAAGAAAAAGTAGGTAACTTGCTTGGAAGGAGTGAATACTCTGTTATTTTCATAGCTGAATTAGCTCACATTTCTGCTTACCTTCTTACTGTTTTAATCTATATATTGGCAACTCCAAAGGTAATGAAGAAATTGCTTGAACTATGGACAACTCCGATACATGCAGCTAAATGAGCAGCGTTTCTTTCCCCATTAGAATCAATTATCTCATCTAAGTGCGCAAAAGTGCTGTCTTGTTAAAAGGTCATGAGAATTAACTAATCGCTGAATGAATAGAACTCTCACAGCTTCATGAAGAGAAACATATTTATTGTCAAAGCTTTCTCTTATTTTTAACAAGATGGAAAAACAAAAGGCAAGGAAAAGAAGTGTTACAAAATGTAAATTACTAGATCTGGTATCCCTAAACCAAAATGTAACCCACTGCCATAGAGTCTATTCAGATTAATAAAGACCCTACAGGACTGGTATGGTGCCGTAGGGTAAGCATAAACCTAGCAGCCACTCCTTGAAAATCCTATATGGGTTCACTCTGAGTTGGAACCGACTCAGCGGCACTTAACAACAACTACTACAGGTCAGAGCTGTTGTTGTTGCTAAGGCCTGCCCAACAGGGTTTCAGGGACCTGAAATCTTATAGAAGCGGATCGACACATCTTTCCCTCATGGAGAGGCTGGTGAGTTTAAATCAATGACCATTTAACAGCCGAGCACTTTAACCACTGTGACTTCTGGTATCCCAGTGGAAGCTAATTAGAGAGGATAGTCTTGGTAGGGAGACAGTGTTGCTGACCAAAAGCTTAGAGGTTAACTTCCTACTCTGTCCTCCCACCCCAACTCCAAGCCAACCAGAGATCCACACCTGTAAAGCTGGCCAGTCATCTATGATGGTCAACTCCAGCAAACTAACTCAGAAAGTAAGGCCTCCTATCCAACTCAGACTTTGACTCTCTCAGGAGACTCATTTATCCAGAGGTAATTTTGGAGGTGGGTGAGTAGGAAGTAAACATAGTGTCACCAAGACTGGACTAAGCAAAAAAATAAAGACTGGACTAAGCAATGGTTACCTAGAAGGTAAAATTTAAGAGATAGGGTTGAGGACATTGTAGAGGTTCAGAGATAAGAAGTTCAACCAGTATTGTCATCTTTGTTGTTGTT